TCGAATCGAACCGGTCCACGTGGAATCACGTGGGGGGTGGCAATAACAAAAATGGGGGGTGGCAATAGCAATACCCTAAATTAAGCACGTTTTCGTTAGATTTCTCGATCACACATGTTCCGGAGGTTCGAATTAACTTTTTGCAATTTGCGATGCTTTATCACTGAGAACGAACGAATTTATAAGTCGATAAATTATATAGACCGGTCTTTAGACGGTTTATAAGATCGTCTTATGAACTGGTCTGTTCCAAAAGACCGGTCTTTTTGGTCCGGGACCTGATCGGACCAATCCAACCCTTATTCGTTCTTAGTAACAATCAATCGGCAGAAAATGGACCTAGTACGAGGAGTATAGAATAGCGATAGCGATAGTGGTAGTTTTTGTGTAAAAAACATTCAAATCTGATAATAAATCATACAAATACGGTAATTATTATAGTCTAAATCCAGAATTTGGTATCAGTATATAAAGAATGAATGTGTTGGTTTCAAAAAAGCCATTTTCACTTTTTGTCATAAAAGTCGTCTGTTATCGTTTTTGTATTATTTAATCATGTCTGACGCGGTATGTATGTGTGTTAAGGGATAGTATTTAATAGAATGAGAATGTTAAAAAATAATTCTATTCACAAAGATAAATTTACTAAATGAGTCGCCACATCTAATATGGAATTTTGCTAGTCTCTTTAGACTGTATCAATCGCTCATTTTTTTATTGATTCATTTTAGCAAACCTATAAATTCAACGTTGCAATGTCCTGCGGCGGCTGCAAAACCTCGGTAGAGAATGCTTTGAAGAAAGTTGAAGGTACTTCATTACTCGAATGAATAATCTATTATGTTAAGTTTTGATTATTTAAATTAATGTTTTCTATTATTTAGGCGTTGAAAGCGTAGACGTAAACCTCGCGGACCAACTTGTCATTGTTAATGCTACTATTGCACAAGAGGACGTTTTGGAGACTATTAAGAAGACTGGAAAGAAGGTTACTCCATTGAGTAGTTAATAGGGTATAAGGTTATCTGGAGTAGTTAATAAAGTATAACGATAAGGTTACTTCATGTATTATTAATATTAGTAATAAACTGTGGGATGTTCAAATCATGTGACCTTCTAGATGCATCCGAACATCGGGAAGTCTACGAACAGTGCTAAATCACGTGGTCTTTGACACAAAAAAATGAAAAAATATGAAAAACAAATATCAAAATCTAGCTTGAAGTACTAATAAAAAATATCAGAAAAGCAAATTTACATATAATTTTATTTTTAGCTCTAATTTTAACTAATTCAAATAATAAAATAATTTTAATATTAATTAGTAATGATTTATCTTGCAAATAAAAATAACATAACAATAGCAATATAATAATATTTCACTTTTCATAACTCAAAACTTTACTGGAAATTATTTATAATAAAACATGCAGAATCTATTTTGCAACTAATTATAACATCCTAATATGCATATCAAAAAATAAAAAAGCAAAATAATATTAATAACTCAATAAATTTTATAAAAATTATAATATTTTTTATTACAAATTATTAATTTTTTTTAACTTACAATTACAAAAAGATATTAATTTAATTAAATACAGTTAATAAAAACAAACACAAATTTCAATAATATAACTGCTATATTTAAATCTTTATTAAAATCAGTATTAAAAAATTCTTATATTTAAACAAGACTTAAAACTTTTAACAAATAACAATTTTGTTTTATTAGAAAACAAATTCAATTCAATTAAAATAAAACTAGATATAATTATCAATAACCAAAAACATATTTTATTTATATCAATTTTCAATAAGTTCTCATCAATAACTCATTTCAAACTTCTAATTTTTAAATTACTTTTAATATTTATATTTTTCTCAATAATATAAATAATATAATTTCTTATTTATTTACAAATTTATTATATTAAAGTATTATAATAAGCAAAAACAAAAAATTAATGAACTAAAAATAATTATCCAAAATTTTTATCTTATTTATCATTATTAAAAAATAAATAAAAATTCTTATAAAATTATATATTTTTAATAAGTTATAATAATAATTCAGATTTTTTATTATTAAATCAACAAAAATTAATAATTAATTCTTTAATTATATATATAGATAACTTAATTTTTATAAACAAATTACAATATTTTCAATTAATAAATTTTATTTAATAGTTATTTTTATTATTTTCTAATAGTTTTTTTAATAATAATATAACTTTACCAATTTTTAATAATATTAATAACAAGATATTTAATACCTAGTGAATTTATATACTTAATATACAATAATTAAATTTTTTAAATAAAGCAAATAATACTTTTTAACTTTTCAATCACCATTACATAAATTTTTTATATTTTACAAAAACAAAATTTAAAAGTAATACAGCAAATTTTATATTTTCTAATATTATTATTTATTTATTACCAATAATTAATAATTATTTGAATTAGATATTAACATTTTAATCAATTATAAATAAATCAAATACATTCAAAAAACAGATTATATTAATAATTATTTTATTTATATTATTTTAATTTTTTCTAATAATATAATAATTCATATAATATTTAGTTATTTTTTAACAATAATCTATTAAAAAAATATTATAACAATAAATTTCTTTATATTCAAAGAATTTTATAAAGTTATTTATATAATATATTCACAAAGAGATAATTTTATTTGATTTTAATAAGATATTAATAGATAATTAAACTTGATTTGATATTTTTTAAAAATTATATCACTCTTAATATATATAATTATAACAGATTTTTAATAAATTATAATTAATCATTTTTTAGTACTTTGTGATATTTTATTAATATTCTTTACTTATTATATTTCTCTTTATATTCTAAAAAAATAAAAAACAAAATAATTTGTTTATATCACAAATAATTTTTTAAAAAAGTATAAAAAATATCAAGAGTATATATAATCACACCTATTTATAATTATATATCTCTATAATTATTCTATTTTGCTTTCATATTTACATATAAACATAGTAAAAAAATCTTTCTAAGGTTATATTCTCTCTATAATTATTAAATTTTGCTTTTCTGAGAGTGGTGACTATAGAGAAGTTTGATTATAAATAATTAATACAATAATATATTCATTTCACTTAAAAAAAATATTAATTTTTTATAACAATATTTGAAAATTATTATTCTTAATATTACAAATAACTCTTTTTTTCAAAAAAAAATAGTTAAATTATACTTTTTTTCATTCAGATAATTCATTATTATAAAGAAAAAACTCAAAATTGTTATATAAATACTTTCTCTTATATTATAACTCACTTTTTCTGTTCAAGAAAATATTATTCAAGTAAATAAAAATCTAATAAAACTTATTAATCTTAATTTACTCTCAATTTTTCTAGTACAAATTGAAACTCTTTTTTATTAATTAATATATTAATAATAAATTTAATATAAATCAAAGCTTATTTTTATAATAAAAAAATTTTACAAGTCCAACAATTAAAAATCTCTCAAATTAATAATACAATTCAAAAAATATCAAATACTATTATGATATAAATATTTAGTTCTTATTTTATTGATTAATTCATATTATAAATTTAATTAAATAATATTTTATTATATTTTATTGGTTAATTTTATATTTATAATTTGATATTTTACAAAGATAATCATTATAAATAATTATTTCAAGTAATTATTTTAAGTAATTACTTTAAATAATTATTTTAAATAATTATTTCAAGTGATTATTTTAAATAATTACTTTTTATTTATCAATTATTTATAAATATCACATATAAAAAAATATAAATTCAATAGTTCTTAGAATCTCAAGAATAATTAATAACAATTAAAAATATGTAATAAATTAATAATAAATTTATTTATTAATAAAATTATATATATTTATTATTATTATATTATGATTTTATAATGAAACTACATATTTATTATATAGTATTTCTTAATAAAACACTTTTAATATAAATTTCAAATTTTATTTTAGCAGATTATATTATGAATATACTATTATTATTATTTTAAACTTGTTATAATTATAATATAATACTTAAAGCATTATATTATCTATATTTTTTCACTTATCATTATTAATATATTGTTACCATTTTGATGGAGCTTTCAAAATACTCAAAGGTAATTATAAAATTTAAGGAATATTCAAAGGGAAAACTTCCAATGTCTTAACGACAATTCAAAGTCTAATAATAATTTATGGCTTTTAGACTGAATATGAATT